TAAACAGAGAAAGAGCTTCTAAATTTGGTGTGTTATGTGATTCAGTTGATGAAATTGATGCATTTTTTAATAAAAATTTGTTTAACTAAGTTTTTTATTGAAATTTATTTTGAGAGTGTGTATATTCACTATTAATATTATGCACAGCACTTTTATCTTTAATAAAAACATTATCTATATTAAATTCTAATTCTAACTTATTTTTAACAAACTCATTAATCAATTCTTCAGCTTCTTCAATGCTTATTTTTTCCTTTTTACTGATCATTAAAATAAGCACTAAAAAAATTAATTTCCCTCCAGAACTATTATTTATAAAAAATTTTGTTTGCATAATTATATAATGATAAATAAAATATCTAAAGAATTAGCGGTTACACTAAAAGCAGAACAGTATATATACAACACGTTTTTAATAGTAAAGGAATTAATTGAAAATGCATTAGACGCTGATGCTAGTAATATAGATCTGTTGGTTAGTGAAAAAGACATTATAGTTAGTGATGATGGTACTGGAATTAGTTTAGAAGATTTAAAAAAAGTTGGATTACCAGGTCACACATCAAAAGAGGCAATGGCTTTTAATATTGTAAAACTTCAAACAAGTGAAATATTTACACATGGTTATCGAGGATTTGCATTGGCATCAATAAAAGAAACTTGTAAGTTTAATATCACTAGCTCTACAGATAATTCTGGTGTAGGATATTGCTTAAATGGTAAAAACAATGAAATTTTAAAAGTTGCAAAATCAAAAGGAACAACAGTTAAAGTTAGTGATTTATTTGTTAATTATCCTGTTAGAAAGAAAAGTAATGATTCTACTCTTAAAAACCAGTTAGTAAAAATTTCGGATTTTATTGAAAGTTTAATTCATTTACACAAAGTTAATTTTAGTGTAAAATTTAACATTAAAAATAAGATTAGAGAGTATAATTACAAAGGTAATGAAACTAATTTAAAAGAATATTGTATTAATAGATATGGTAGTTTTTATCATATTTCTGAAGATCCACTTTACTGGTTTATAATGTTTCCTAATAACAGTACAGGTACACAGAAAATATTTGCTAATAACAGAATTGTCAATGTAAACTTAACTAAATCTATTGATAAGTTCCTGAAAAGGTATGTTGATTACTCCCTAACTTTTATTCTCAATATTAAAGATAAGGCAGATATGAATATTTCAGCAAATAAAATGGA